TGATGTCTCCTTGATAGGGATTAGTGTTATTTATAGCAATTACAGGTGTGCTGCTAGAAGACAGAACTGTAAATCACCCCAAATGTTATTCCATGATGAAGTATCCCTACATTATTTAGCACATTGTCCCAACATGACTGAATGATGCACAATGGGAAAACTTGCCAGAGAAATGTAATCTTGAAAAGGACAAAATAGTGTGTATTTAGTTTAAATGTGTAATTGCAGTTGATATTCTTTTGGCAGATTTGTAATCCAGGAGTACTTTCAGCTTCAGAAAAGTGGAGTGCTTCTAACCTGGGGCAATACATGTGACACTGTTGTACAGCTGGTGTTGCAGAGGTATTTGACACAAAGAAGGGTCGGGCTGCATGTGCATGTTTCAGTTCCAGCTTTTACTGCCTAGAGTGTACCATAGCAACTTCGCTTTACAGTGTATGAGAGTGATTCTCCTCAGTAGAAAGAAGATTGAGGTGTGATGAAATGCCAGCCAAAAGTGCCTACAGGTACCTCAAAATAAAGAACTACATGTGTTCTGAGATGTTTGTCTATCATATTTGGCCTTAATCTGAGCAGTGCTTTTCCGGATCAAGGACAGGCTTGTAATTTTGAAATGAGAGGAAAGGTGGAGCAGCATCTTCTTCCTAAAAAGCCTGGACTGAAAATAAACCATATTAATTGTTACAAATGTTATTTGTAGCTGCAGGTGTTTTTCCTCCTTCAGATGTGCCAGGTACCATTTGTGTGGTAAATGTCTTCTGTTTCTTCTTTACTCAATCAAGAACAATTTAAAGATTGTCATGCCTAAAACATACACCTGGTTGAGAACTCTCTGGGTAAAATCTGGCTCAAAACCTAACAAAGCAGGTCCTACTGGAGCCCAGCACCAGTAGCCAGGTCTGCTGCTGGTTTCCTCTGGGCAAGAAAACTTGCTCACAACCAATCATAGGCATATATGAAAGAGCAAAGGAGGGAAGAAGGGATCTAGAGAAGTAAAGGGAGGGCTGGTGTCAGTGCTTCCTTCCCAGGGAGTTTGGAGGTGTCTTTCTAAAGGTGAGAACTGAATAGCCTTGGAAGTGCTTCTGTTGCTTTTCTGAGTTAAATCTTAGTATCAGTCAGGTCTCTCCTAATGTGTAGTCCAAGATCTTCTAAAACTATTGGTATGTTTAAAATGTTACTACAGACACAAAGCATCCATTTCCATGTGGGTAACAAGGCTGTTTGTGTTTGCATGTGTCCATGTGCAGGAGGAGCCATGAATTAGAAGCAGCCTCAGGCAACAGAGCTGCATTCAGGCTGCTGCTGCTTTAGGAGAATGAGACTTGCTGCAACACAGCAGTCTGGGGGGGAGGAAAGGGTGAAGAAGACACATCAGGTGTTGAAATGTTCACCTGAGCATCATCTCTTCTGCAGGTGGCTCAGTCACAGCTGGGAGCCTGGCTTCCTTGGGAGGGCCATGAGAGACCACACTCTGCATGGCTGTCCCTGTCTGTGTCTCTGTCTGTGCCTCCTCTAGCCTCAAACTGGCTTTAAAACCCTTAGCCCACTTCAAACCTATAGCTCAGATAGGGAAAGGGCTTAGCTGTGAACACATCCCCACAAATTTGTGCAGTGAAGCAGCTGACAGAGGTGACAGACCCCATGTGTGTCCCACACAGGGGAAAAGGCAGAAAATCACACACATAGCAGAAAGCTTGCCCCAGGCAAAAGGTTTTATTAATGATCTATTCTCAGGAAAAGCGCCAGTCAGAGTTTGTGCCTTACTTGACACCAGAGAACCCCACCAAAAGACCCAAATCGAAGGGAAGTTGTCTTTCAGTCTTCCACTGCTGCTCTGCCTCCCTGCTCTGTACCCCTGAGGCCAAGCTTTCAAAATGGCTGCTGTGCTGCTGCTGGGGAAATAAACTGCTTCTTGCTGTAGCTGGAGGTTAACGGGTGTTCATTGGGCAAGTCATACTCCCGGTGTCCTGGGAGCAAGATATTCAGGGATGTTTCTGGTTGAGATTGTCAGCAGTGCTGGTAAATGGGGCAGAGCTGGTCCTCTGGTCTGAGTGCTCTCCTAGGACTTGGGAGATTTCTTTACTGTTCATCACCCATCCCAAATGTCTCTGTTTTCCTCTGCTGTAAGGTGGGGCAGCAGCATGTCCCTGCCTCCTGGGAATGCTGTGGGGATCAGTATAATAAATACCATGAGGCACTCTGGTACTACCAGAGAGAGTGGGAAAAGCACTGAATTGACAAAAAGACCCAGAAAGAATTGTAAAACTCTAGGGAAAAAAGAAAAGGAAGCAACATAAATAAATAAATAAACCCCAAACAGGCAGTCCACTGGGACACAGTGTTAAATACACTGTCACTCACTCCCAGCATGATTTTCCCTTCTTTACATGCTCTTTTCCACACATTGCTGCTGCCTTTGCAATTTGAGTCTGCGATGTGTATTGCTATTGCAGCACAGTAACAGGGTTGGAGTTTGGACCACATTTTCCTTCACAGAGCACAAGCATCTTGGCACTAGAAGCCTTGTAAGCCATGTGTTTCTCAATAAATAAATAAATAAATAGATAGATGAGCAAATGAAAATGTCATCTACATAAATATGCCACATTAAGTTGGATCAAAGTGCTCAAAACAAGACCGCTTTGAAACAGAAAGGTAGGAATCAAAATTGCACATCCCTGCATACCCACTCAGATGCCAGCTGGTGAACCAAGGTATACATACCATGACTGTTTAAATGATAATATTTTAGCAGCTGTCTACAAAAGTGTAAACCTTTCCCCATCTTCCTAAGGCTGCCCGGTGCACCATCCCCATGGGCTGCCCTGGTTCCAGCCCATGCCCGCTCCATCTCCACTCATCAGCACATCTGCAGGGTCCACCAGGCAGGGTCCACCAGGCACATAAGGCTGCTCTAGGCTTCTCCAAAGGATGAGCAGTAAGATCCCTGACAAGGTCTGGAGTTCACCGAATCCTGTTGCCATTGCCTTGCAAACCTGTGTCTGGGCAAGAGCCCATCGGATGGCTGGCTCTAATCCAAGCTATTCAATGAGGTGAAAGGCTAATTCAGGGGCACAAAGTGGCTCAGCAGGTTGGGGGAAGAGGTGCTGGTTTTCAGATCCAAGTCAAACACAGCCCAACCTCCCCAGTGGGGAAGAGGCTTTATAGAACAGAAAAAGCTTAAGTAAGTGGTGGGTAGTCTCTAGTGGCTGCGTCCCTGGCAGCCTGCAGAACCAGTTGGGAACCGTTCTCTAGCCCTGGGGCTAACATGGCACTGTGTGACTGCTCATTCCCCTCCTTTCTTCCCCTTCCTCCCCAAAACTGTGTGGGCATAACCAAACTGCCTGCTTGGAGCAGATACTCTCCTCAGCCCATGGCCAAGCATTGCCCAGGAGGTTGGGTACCAGCCCTGGCCAACACAGTGAAGGCAGAGCTGTCTGTGGCCAGGCTGGTGCCCCCTCTTCTGCTTCATTTCTGTTTCAGGATCTGAGGGAGGCTGCACTAAGTGGCTTCCCAGGATCCCACCCCCTCGGCTGTACTGGGAGGGTGGCGACAATTTTCTTGTGGCTCAGGTGTTGCCACAAGCCCCAGCACTGGTTTTGAATACTGTCCTCAGCAGAGCCAGCAGCACTGGAGCAGCCTGGGCCACATCAACCATCAGCCCTCTCTGAACACAACCACCCCAGCAGTGGGATGTGAGGGAGGGCCCAGCCTTCCTGAGCAGACAGGGATTAACCCAGGCAGAGAGACAGGGACCAGACATGTCACCCCTCCACTGCCCCCAGCCCACTGCCAACATCCACCTTGTGTCTGCCTATGGATGGAAGATGAAACAAAGGCTGCTTTAAATTGCAGTCCAGGCGAGAAGGGAACAGGGAGCAGGCAGCTACCCCCATCTTTGTGGGTGATCTGCAGCAGTTAGCACAGGGATTCTAGCTGGACTTTCCCTGTGGTCGTGTCCCTTCTCTGTAGGAAAGGTTTGTGTGCATCTTTGCATAAAGTATTTATTTAAGTACAAGAAACTTGGGAGAGATATGTACCAAGGCACCAGGCATGTCCTTTCACAGTTATTTTTAAAGAAATTTTACAACTCCGGATGTAAAAACAATTTCCGAAGGTGACATCTTTTGCTTTTTTTTTTTTTTTTTTTCTGCATAGCATCCCTTGTCTGTAAGTGTGTACGTGCATGTGTGACCACCTGTGGGATGGAGGCTTCCGTAGTGCTAAGGTTTGCACAAACCCTTCTCAGCACAACATTCTTTGGCCCATGGGCTTCATGTTGCCTGGTGGGCACTGCCACACATGACACAGCCAGAAGCTCCCCCACAGGAGTCACAGACCTGTGAATGGGACCTGTACACAGCTCATTCACTGCTGCACACCCATTTCTGCCCACAAAGTAAGGCAAGAAACTGAACTGGCTTAAATGCTGTAACTGCTGCTGCCATAAAATATCATCATTGTAACATGAGACTTTTCCAGGGCTTTGCCTCCCCATCTGGCATGGACTGACTCCCCCAGCTGTGTTTGGCACAATTTTTAATAGCTTTGTTAGACACAGGCATAGTTATTTCCCTGTAAAATGCACTGCCAACAAAATGTATGTTCTCAAGCTAATCCTACCTACTTCCATAGCTTTCCCTCCAAAATCATGGAGCAAGAGAAAAGCTACAAGGGTTTTGAGTGAGCAGATGGGTAAGAAATGGCTTTCCACCATGCAATGTGCCCTTCTCAAATCCAGCAGGCCACACACTTTTGACCACATGCACCCTGAGAGGACTCAATCCCCAAATGCCACATGCAAGGAAAACACATACCAGCCACGTGCCACTGTACTACATCTCCCACATGTTCCTGGTAGCAATACCTTTGAGCAACTCTGCAAGTACAACTCAATGCATCAACCTGGGGCCTTCTGGTGATACTTTGTGTGGTTTTGCCTACACAGGGTGATAGTTTTGCTTGTCATTCTGAAGGCATTTTTCTCTTCCTCTGGCCAGAGAGCATCTGGGACCAGTATAGTGGTGGTGGCTCTAAGAAGGGGCTCACGTTGCTGGTGAAGATCTTGCAATGTCTGGAAGATGTGTCCAGCTCTTCAGGAGCAGCCTCCTCTCGTGTGGAGGCCAGGACTGCATGCACCCCAACTCGCACAGATGGGACCTCACCTCCCATGGGCTCACTGCCCCAGGGGAGGGGAAGGCTGGATGTGGAGTGGGGCTGCTTACAGGCCACGCTCCTGGCTGGAGAGGAGATAAACGTCCCCAGGGGTACCACCGTGTCCATGGGACCCTATGATGAGGTGAATACCTCTGTGCTGAGGTAAATAACCCTTTGATACAGACCTGTGTGTAAAGCCAGTTAGAGCCCCTGCTGGTCGTGTGTTCTGGGGGGGTTGCCAGGCTGCAAAGGTGTTAAAGAGCTGCTGATACCTGCACCACTCCCCTCCCCCAGCCTCCTTTGCCCCTAATCCGTGCACTCTGGGTTGGTTCCAAGGGCAGAAGGGCCTTTCCGATGGAAGTCCCCTCCTGCAGGGGGGATTTGCCGACGCCCTCCCCACCGCACCCCGAGTGTCCCCGGGGCGGGAGCTGCGCGACTCAGTGTCCCT